AACTGGTTCTGTGGGTGTGGCCTAGTTTGTGGGTGTGGCTTGGTGGTCATGTGACTGGCTGGGCATGACTTGTATGTAAATATTATAAATATTTATATAAATATTGAATTTTTTATTAAAAAAAGAGCAACTTTTACCCAAAATCAGGCAAAGCAGTCATGCAGACTGAATTTCTCACAGAATCACAGATTCATTCAGAAATCTATCAGCCATTGGCTAGCTCAGTCTGTCACATAAAATTTGCTTGCAAGCAAACTCATAAAATTTGCTAGCAAGCAAACTCACAAAATTAACTCACAACACACCATGTATGTAAATATTGATTTTTTTATTTTAAAAAAGAGCAACTTTTACCCAAAATCAGGCAAAGCAGGCAGGCAGATTGAGTTGCTCACAGAATCACATATTCATTCAGTGATCTATCTATCTGCCATCGGCTAGCTCAGTCTCTCAAATTTGCTTGCTGTGAGTCTGCACTGAGTAATAGAACCTTCAGTCCTAAGGGTGGTTTGGCTGTGCTTAAAAGCAGAGCCGAAGATCTAAAGACTAGCTAGAAAGCAAGAAATCCAACTATTTCCTGCTTCCTAGCTAATCTTAATCTCCCAGCACAGCAGAACAGATGATGATCAGAAAAAGGAAAAATAGCAATTTAGTAGGCAAGTTTACCAGGTAAGCAATGAATGGGCGGGGCGGGTTCCCACAGGCCATGTGGGTGGCACAGCCTTGTGTTTCTGCATAGCCTGGATTAACTGTTTTGGGGGGGTGCTCTGGGGTGAGATTTCTCTGTGGCCCATCAAAATTTTCTCATGGCCCACCAGGGGGCCACGGCCCACCAGTTAGCAATCGCTGCTTTAGACCAACAGAAGTGCATTTTGGAGAGTGAGATGAAGAACAATGAGATACGCTTCCATTGTGTCATCAGATACCTGGATCATATTACCATATGTGATGGACATGTGCAGAAGCTAAAAGATACTGGACACACATGGTTGGAAAACAAATATTTTTATTTATTTATTTATTTGATTTGTCAAGATAATAGATATATGTATAAACATGGGTAAGAATACAGGAAATAGGTACGAATAAATGGGGACAATAGGACAGGGACTGTAGTGCACTTATACACGCCCCTTACAGACCTCTTAGGAATTGGGTGAGGTCAATAGTGGTTAGTTTGAGGTTAAAGGAGTGGGGATTAGAGGATGTAACAACAGAGTCAGGTAGCGCATTCCAGGCATTGTCCACTCTGTTGCTGAAGTCGTACTTTCTGCAATCAAGTTTGAAGTGGTTTACATTGTGTTTGTATCTGTTGTGTGCTCTTATATTGTTGTGGTTGAAGCTGAAGTAGTCACTGACTGGTAGGACATGGTAGCAGATAATTTTGTGTGCTATGCTTAAGTCTAATCGTAAGAGGCAGAGTTCAAGGTTGTCCAAGCCCAAAATCTCAAGCCTGGTGATATAGGGTATTCTGTTGCGAGCAGAGGAGTGTAGTACTCTTCTTGTGAAATACTTCTGGACTCGCTTGATTGTATTAATGTCTGATATGCAGTGCGGATTCCAGACTGATCAGCTGGTCTGGCAAAAGTTTTGTATGCTTTAGTTAGCAATTCGATATTTCTGGAGGAGAAGCTTTGTAAGATTAGATTTACAACTCTTAATGCCTTTTTGGCAATGCTGTTACAATGAGCTCTGGCACTTAGGTCATTTGATACAAGAACTCCAAGGTCCTTGGTGAAACAGCATTCATTATTGATGATGAAACAACACATAGATTTAAAGCTGAGATATTTTTATTGGGGATTTTGCCTGAAAGTTATAGTAAAGAAATAACATATTTGATTATTAATTTATTAACAGTAGCTAGAATTGTATTTGTGCAAAACTGGAAAAATGAGAAAATTCTGATGGACAAAGAGGTGATTAAGAAAATAATGGAATGTGCAGAAATGAGTAGATTATCATTAGCAATTAGAGAGCAAGAAGAAAAGGAATATATTTGGAATTTATTTTATGGATAGTTAGAAAATAGAGTAAGAAATTAAAGGATATTGTAATAATGATATACTGTAGTTGATCATTTTTGAATAAGTTATAACCTGAATATAATCTAGTAAGAGTTGGGATTTGCTTTTAAGGATAGCTGGAAACTGAAATAAAAAACCCAATGACAATGTAATAATGATATAATATGATATATAATGTTGATTAAATATAATATGAATGTAAACTCAAGAAGAAATGTATACAAATATTGTGCACATGATATATGTACCCAGCCAACACACTGTATAACTGAAAGAAGGTTTTATTTGTTGGTTTTTGTTATAAAAATAATTTTTAAAATGTTGAGGGTATTTTTGTCTGCGACTCCCTCCAACTTTTGTATCTGTGTTCGTACAAAACTTTCTTTGAGTAGAAATACCGTTTTCAAATAAATGCAGCTTTTCCCACCAAAAAAATAAAGATACACTTCCATTAAGGCAGGACATATCATAATCTAATAAGGTTTTGTTTAGACAGCTGGTATTCTGGTTTATAAAAGTGCTGTTGATTTATCTTTTGGGTTTTGGTAAAGTGGCTGACATGAGCAGAAGTGTTGTGGCCACTTTAGAGGTCATGAAGAGTCAATCTGATCTCAAGATTCAGGGTTCCATTAAGAGTGGTAGAGTGTGAGACTATTGAGACTATCTGTCTCACAAGGGGATAATCCATCAAAAAGCCCTCTTCTACATGATTTTGTTCAGCTTCTACTTGGGCATACAGAAAATCTGCCTGGGAACTGCTGTCCACTGTGAATGGCAGGTAGAAGGTTTTTTTGCATATTCTGGAAACAGTTATTTCACTACTCCTGAATTTCTTACCAGTGAAAATAGAAAGGCTTCAGAATGAGTAAAGTTACATGTCCGTGCATGACAAATTTGGGAATAAAACTGACTCAGTAATATTTTTTTATATTCACTGATACTTTTTGAATTATCTTTATATTGGCAATAATTTGTTCCAGCTATTTCCAGTTTTGACAATTTCTGAACATGTCAACTTCCCTAAAATTCTCATCAATAAGCATGAGAAAAAGAAGGGTAAAGGGAAGAAGGCCTATAAGAAAGAGTGTAATTTCTAATTTTCGGTGATTTTCTTGCTCCCCTAAAAATAAGTCATCTAGAATTTTTATTTTCTAATAAAATAAAAAAATCTGGAAGGTGTCTTGACCTCCATTTTACAAGAAACAGAACATTAAAACAATATAAGAAAATAAAAGATCTCGGAGTTTGAGGAGCACAAGGATTGAGTATCCCTGCTTACAGACACAATTCTAAGGATTAGAGTACTGTAATAGGGCCTTGGAACCAAGAAGTTGAGCCAATGACTGCACAGGAAAGATAAGTTTCTGGGAGAGCATTTGAAGAAAGGGAGATGGCACCATACCAAGATAGACATTTTTATCAACCTGTGCACTAACCTCCATAATTAGGTGATATCTTCAAGTATTGGTTGTGTCAATCACAAGGGCTGGGCTGCAGGAACATTGTAGGGCTCTGTATTAAAAGTAGTTGTGATTCTTTCATACTTACAAGATTGAGATATCAATGTGTAGCAGAATGGTCATTTAGGGCCCCTTCATAACTGTAGTACTTCAGGGGCAACGCCTGAGCATCCTATCCACAAAATGCTTCATTTGGAAAGTAGAATTAGATTTGTTTTTTCTTAAACTCTGTTCCAATTGTCAGCATTCCAAGTAAACCCTCCAGACAATTCAAAACTCCGAGACAAAGTCCATCAAGTAAGAATTTATTAGAGAAGTCATATTGGCACATCTGGGGAAAACCTGAATCTGAATTCCTGCGTTTCTCCCCTTCCACACTAAAACTCACACCCTGTCCCATTTAGTGACTCCCAAGTCACATTTGGCAATCAACCTCCTGTCTCAGCTGCTGCCAAATTCCAGTCACTCCCCTCCAGGTTCTAGCAACTTGTCCTTGATCTCTGGTGAAGAATGTTGTTGTGGCTATACACCCTTTGCTACTGTCCCGTTCCCATAGCCTGCCCATCCCCTGCTATGGCAGCCGGAATCTGAATCAAAATGGATCCGGGACTGACACCAATATTTGAAAGTGGAGCAAAGCTGGACCACTGGATGGAGCTTGGAGGTGGAATGCACAACAGCACTTTCTAACTTACAGGCACAAGGAAGCTACTACTTTGTGTCTACTGCAGTTAACTGAGAAATGGTAAAGCAACTAGGAAGCTAAAAATGGAGCAAATGGAAGGAACTGGCAATAGAGGCAGAGGAACATGTTCTGTTGTGGAACAAAGACGGACTCAAAGACTGGACTTGAATTCAGCTCTTTATTAAGCGTCAGTAACTTCAACTAAACTCGAGCCGCGGCAGCCTCTTTTATAGCGGCTGCTCGCGGCTCGCGGCCAATGTCATCGTTTTAAACTTCCCACCATTGGCGGACCAATCGCAACAGTTGTTAAACCGCCAATCGCTAGGCAGCAGTGGTTGTCCAATCAGAATGTGGTATTACGAGTATGCAAATGTCTATATACAACACCCCTCCCCTCTTGGTTCGGTCCAACGCTACTTTACGTAGTCGCATAAGTAGGCGGGGCTTTTGTGGTTCCTACTTGACCTGCACAGCTCAGTCTCTGTGCTGACTTCAGTCGGTTCAGATGGGATCGCTGTCTCTCCTGTCCTTCTCTCTGGAACCTCCTGGAAGGGTGAGTCAGCCATGCCGCTCCCGCCTGGTTTTTTCGGGCCGGTTGAGTCGGCTTGGCCGCTCCCTCCTGGCTTACCCGGGCAGGTTGAGTCGGCTCGGCTGCTTCTTCCTTGGGTGTCTTCCAGCTCCTTTCTTCCGAACTCGCCTTCCGGTAAGTAGTTTTTATTTTTTGTTGGGCTTTCTGGAATGGGTTGGTGATTTGTTTTTTGTCCTGTTAATGGAGGGTCTTCCCTTTCTTTAATATTTGATGGTTCCGTCCCCTCTCTGGTTCTATTATTATTTATTGGATTTTGTGTGAGTGCATGTTCTGTGCTTCGGGGCGTGTCGGTGATCCGTTCGATGGTTCGAGACCGTAGTTGGTCGATGTGCCTCTTCCAGGTTCTGCCGTCCGTCATTTCCAACCGGTATGACCGGGGCCCTGTTATTTGCGTTATTGTAGCCAGTAGCCACAATGGGTCTCCGGTAAGATTTTTTTGCATATACCAGGTCGCCTGGTATAAATGTGCGGTACTTCCTGGAAGAGTCTGGTGGCTTTTCAGGGTTGTAGGTGGGGTGCAACCTATCCAAATATGTCCGCAATTTTCTGCCCCTTAAAAGTTCAGCTGGACTCTTGTTTGTTGATGTGCTCGGCATTATATGTTGGATTGTGAGCATTGTATTGATTTTGTCTTGAATGTCACCTGTGTCAATTTTTTCCAATGCCTCTTTCGTATATCTAACCATGCGTTCCGCCCTTCCGTTTGAAGCCGGGTGAGCTGGCGCTGTGAGGGCATGTCGTATGCCCTGTTCTGCAAGGAATTGTTCGAAAGCTAAGGCTGTGAACTGGGGGCCATTGTCTGAAACTAGCAAATCCGGCAACCCATGCGTGGCGAAAAGTTTTCTTAGTTGTTTGGTGACGGCTTCAGTTGTCGTGGAATTCATGACGCTGACTTCCAACCAGTTCGAGTAGGCATCGACAATGATTAAAAATGTATATCCTTTTGTGGGTCCAGCGAAATCTATGTGGATCCTCGACCAGGGGCCTCTTGGTGTCTCCCAGTCGAGGACCGGTGCTAGTGGGGAAGTAGGTCTGGACTTCTGGCATTTATTGCATGTTGTCACCCATGTTTCAATGTCTCTGTCCATCCCTGGCCACCAAACGTAGCTTCTGGCCAGAGACTTCATTTTTACCATACCCGGGTGTCCATGCAACATGCCCAGCACTTCTTCCTGTAGTTTTTTTGGAACAACAACTCTATCCCCCCAAAGTATACATCCTTTCTCAATTGACAGCTCAGTCTGCTGGGTTCTGAAGGGTTTAAAGTTTCGTTCTTATCATTTTCCGGCCAGCCCCTTCCTACCCAGTTCAGGATCCAAGCCATCAATGCATCTTTTGCGGTTTCCTTTGCGATGTCTGATGCGGTGATATGCAGATTTGGTAATGTTTCAATTTGGAGTGTTGACGTGGTAGGAGCTGGGTCGTTGTCTCGATCTGGTAGAGGTGAGCGGCTCAGTGCGTCGGCATGGGGTATTGCTTTTCCTGGTCGATGGACGAGTTTATGGTTGTAGGCTGCAAGGAATTCTGACCACCGTGTCATCCTTGGTGATAGGATGTTGGGGGTAGCTCTGTTTCCCGCCAGAATTCCCAACAGTGGCTTGTGGTCAGTAATTAAGGAAAATGTCCTACCATAAAGGTATTCGTGAAACCGTTTGACCCCTGATATGGCGGCTAAGGCTTCTCTATCTAGTTGACTGTAGTTTCTTTCGGCTTTTGACAGTGTTTTAGAGTAAAAGGCGATCGGTGCCTCTCTGCCATCGGGTAGTATGTGGCTGAGTATGGCGCCCACACCGAATGGTGATGCGTCGCAGGTGACAGTCAGTGGTAACATGTCGTTGTATTGGATTAATACAGATTCGGATGTTATTAGGTCTTTAATTCCCTGGAATGAGGCTTCTTCTCGTTGGCCCCAGGTCCAGGTGGCTTTTTTATCGAGTAATCTGTGCAGTGGTTCTGCTATTGTTGCCTTCTGTGGCAAAAAGACATTGTAAAAATTAATGAGTCCCAAAAATGCCTGTAAGTCTGTTTTATTTTTGGGTCTGGGTGCTTCTTTTATGGCTCTTATTTTTTTTCCAGTGGGGTGGATTCCTGCTTCATCAATAAGGTATCCCAGGAACTTGACCTGATTTGTAACAAGTTGGCATTTTTCTTTTTTGACTTTGAGTCCTGCTTCCCTAAATCTTTGCAAGACTTCTCTTAGCCAGTCTTTTAGTTGCTTTTTATTTCCGGCAGTGGTTGTCCAATCAGAATGTGGTATTATGAGTATGCAAATGTCTATATACAACAGAACATTAATTTTTGATGAGGGAGGAGCTTCATCAGCAAAAGCTCTGGGTAAATGCCACCTTGTCCGGCCACATGCAAAGCCAACCCCTCCCCTCATCCCCCAATATTTTAGTGGCAGTAAGTGTTCCACTGCATCCATCTATAGCTCTCCCCAGAATGTAGGTCCATGGTTGGAGGTTTGATGACGGCCTAGTTGTGGTCCAGGGTAGTAATCATCCTCTTACTACCTGTGATGATATATGGGGATGGCTTGGGAAACAGGAGGAAGATCTGTAGCCTAGGCAACAATTTGAAAAGGGACTGCTCAGTCTGTAATTGGGGGCACATGGGAACCATTTCAGAGAGGATCTTCTCCAATTTTCTGGAGATTAAAAAGAGAAGGGAGAAATATTTTCAGTCTTTCAAGATCCTTGTTTAAGGTAACCTTACAATAAAGATAGTGCCAATGCTGTTGGTTGTGTTTCTCTGAACTGCCTCAAAGGGCTAACATCAATCTTGCAAGACTGAAAATATTTTTCATTATCTTCATTCTTGCAGTTTCATTCTTTTTCAACAGTGGTTCTGAGCTGACCTTTGCAAAGCAGAGCTGCCTGCCCTATTTCTTTCTACTCACAAGCATGTAGAAAAGTTTCAAGAACTGACTTCTGAATACTAATGTTTCTCCCTTCATTGCAGAATTTTAACTTGTTTTAGTGGTATTGTGGAAGCTTGGGATTCTTTATTTCATTTAATTGTTCTCTCTCTCTTTCCCAAATAATTGTGTAATCTTTCAGGATCAGAGCATCCTCCAGATAAATACCAGTTTATTTATTTAACCACTACCACCCCACCATACTCAATAAGGAGTATATCTCACATACATTTTAGTATGCATCCACAAAAACAGGTGTCACTTGTAACTCCCATGAAATTCAGGATCATACACAAATGTATTACAATCCAGGATATCTGGTTTTGGAAGGCTGTCGCAAGAGATGATCAGCTAAAAGCCCATTGCCATGCCTATGACATTGGGCAATGCATATTTATTTGGTAGGCCTTCACGCAAAATCAGTTGAAACAGTCCTGATTGTTCTTTACATTGTTCTATTCTAAACCTCCGAACTGCAAATGTAATCCTTGATGCCATGACTATCTAATTCTTCTGTATTGCTACTGAGCTCTTTGCTGAATAGCTTTCTGAGTGAGATTCAGCAATTTTTAAAATCAAGTAGGTACTTTTGTTTCATTTGGGAAAGCATGTTTGCTAACCATAAAGAGGACAGTGCTTAGTGTTTGCTGCCACCTTGGCAGACTTTTAAAGTTCCTTTTCTCTTCCAAAATATTGTTGCAGAACATACCTATCATATCTGTTGAGTGCATTTGTCATTCAGAGCTGACTTTCTCATAATCTCACCCGTTGAATCAAGTTCAAACAGTTCTTGCCGGTACAAGATTAACTTTGATTTTGACTTTCCAATCACTTTTTATCTGATGAGTTATGTTTCTTGCAAATTTTGAGCTCAAATTAGCAAACAATTTTTGAAGTTTTATTATACAGACAACACAGTAGCCATTTCCTCACTAGAAATGTATATCATATTATGACTCCTTCTCTGGAAATTACAAGTGTCATGTGGTGGGAGCCTCACTAGCTTCAATGACCTTGAGAATGACACCCACACGTGTTTCTTTTTAAAATGTTTGAAAATTACATTTAAAATGAATTTGTTTAATTTCTGAAAAGGTATTTACATGTTAATATTATACATAAACTATAAAAAGGTCTATATGTTTTAGAAGGAAGAACAATCTAATAAAGAAAAAAGTCCTATATATTTGACTACAGAAAAATTTGAAAATGAAGATAAAAATGAAACCAGAACTTTTCCTTTTGGGCCTAATGGAAAAAGAACTGGAGAAAAAATTTGGAACTTTGTTTGCTATATATGTTGCCAGCAGCAAGACTATTTATTTATTTTATTTTATTTGTCAATTGCTTACATGGAAGGACACTTTGATTCCTACTATGGACAAATGGCTGCAGAAGTTGATGGAGTTGGCTGAAATGGCAAAATTGATTATTTTGATTAAAGAAAAGAATATAAGTGCTTTTGGCTTCCAGTTTGGGCTTCTTCGGCGACGGACCAAAATCCATGATTGTGTGTGGTTTCGATCCGTGCTCTCCACTGGAGCGCCCCAATCCTTTGGATTCAAGGCTGAAGCCACCCCATAGAGGTGGTGAAGAGGGGGAAGACCACCAGCTGAGTCAAGGGAAGCCACAACTCTCCTCCTCAGCTTGGCATTACTCCCTTTCCCGAAGACGGTTGCAGAGGTGGTCAGAAATGGCCACCTCAAAGAGGAACCCGACTGGACAAGATTGAGCAGGAGGGAAGACAAAGGGAGAGAGCTTGACAGACCGGGCAAAGCTGAGATAACATCTATGCAAGGTACCCTAGAACTAAAATTATTAAGAGCGTTATTCCTAAAAGAAGTTTTTTTTAGCGGCAGAGAAGATAGCTGTAATTAGCTTTGAAAGTTAAAAAAGAAGAGACTTAACTAAGAAATTTGTGTTGATTTACTTTGACACTAACAGGCAATCCTAAACTGAAATTAAAGTGTCAAAGGGAAAATAAAATTTTTGGACATTCTAAAGCCCTCAAAAGGAGGAAAGTGGAGAGAAAAAGAAAGGGTGGACTTGGAAATAACAGAGAGTATCACCTGGAAATAAAAAGAATTAACTGTGAAACTTTAAAAAGATTTCCAAAGGATATACTATAACTGAAACTTTGCTACAATATAACAGATCCCCTGGAAAGGAAAAGTGTAAGAAAGAAGCAAGAAGCTTTGGCTTACTTGGTGATTTTTGAAATTTTGGGTGTTGGGTTTTTAGTGGTTTGCATTAAAATAAATCGGGTGGTTGTTTAAAAGTGTTTAAAATGGCAGTACTCCTTGAGGAATTAAAAATGGAACTTAAAAAAAATGAAAAAAGAGTTGCAAGAGGGAAGAGGATCCTTTGGTTTCACACTTCAATTTTTAGAAATGGAGATTTTGAACTATGAAAAACAACAAGAAACGCTTGAAGAACAAGAAGGGTTGGACAAAGAAGGAGCCATCTTTAACAACAAAACAATGCAATGTGGGGTAAAATGGGAAAAGGGGAAAAAGGAGTTAAAAATTTAAGCCTTGGGGAAACAACTAAAAAAAAGAATAGTTTGAAAAGTAAATATAACATTAGGAAGAAGCAGAGTTTAGGGTTACAGAAGGGAGAATCAGAGAGACAGGGGGACAAAAAAGGTGGAGAGAAAAAGAGGAGAAAGATAGAAAGAAAAAGAAGTTATAAGGGACAGAAACAGGAAATAAAGAAACAGGGGAAATGTACAAGGATTAAAGGTATTAGCCTACTTAAAAGACATAGAGATAATGGTTAAAATATAAATTAAAAGAGAGGATTCTGCAAGGGTGCAAGAGATAGTGTTGTTATATTAGAAATAGTAATGAGCTAGAAAATATGAAACATAAGTGATTAAAGTGAAAGATAAAACTGGTATTGTGATGTAATGGAATGCTTGCTAGGAAATAAGAGGAATGAATGAAAATAATTATTTTTTAGGATTTATAAAATACAATTGAAGAGAAATGTGAAAGATTTATAATGAAATCAATATCAGTTGTCAGGGTGAATTTGAATGGATTAATCATTTTATTCATCATTTTTATATATATATTCTTTTTTTAGAATTAAGTGTGTATTGTTAAGGGAAAGTACCAACTGGAATTCGGTTGATAAGATGTATATGATATAAAATAGATATTAGAAATT